GTGAAAGTAATCATTCAGAATCTTGTACACCACATATGTAAGACCAATCCTGGAGTATGCGGCCCCAGCATGGAGCCAGTACCTTGTCAAGCATAACACGAAGCTGGAAAAAGTTCAGAGGTATGCCACTAGACTAGTCTCAGAACTAAGAGGCAAGAATTACGAGGAAAGGCTGAGGTAACTGCACCTTACGACACTGAAAGACAGAAGAGTAAGGGGAGACATGATCACTACCTACAAAATCCTCAGAAGAATTGACAGGGTAGACAAGGATAAACTATTCGAGACTGGTGGTACGCAAACAAGGGGACACAGGTGGAAACTGAGTACCCACATGAGTCACAGGGACGTTAGAAAGAACTTTTTCAGTGTCAGAGTAGTTAACAGGTGGAATGCATTAGGCAGTGATGTGGTGGAGGCTGACTCCATACACAGTTTATAATGTAGATATGATAGAGCCCAGTAGGCCCAGGAACCTGTACACCAGTTGATTGACAGTTGAGAGGCGGGACCAAAGAGCCAAAGCTCAACCCCCGCAAGCACAAATAGGTGAGTACACTACCCACAGACACCACCCTGAAACCACACTACTCCACAAGTAGCTTAGCCTACCATTTTAAAAGCACCGAATCACCTTCTGTGGTTGAGTGTTCAATAAACCCCTGAACTATATGTTTAACACTTCTCTAACCCTGTCCATGGAGGACAGAAGAAAATGTATATATGCTGGTTAGCATTGTAAATGTCTGGCCACGTCTGTGGTAGAAAATAATAATAATAATAAAAACATTGTGTTAGAGATGAACAGTAGCCTCCTGTCAACCTCTGAACTGGTCAACCTGTCTACTAGTGCAGAGGTCTGAGACACAGACACAAGTCTATATCTGTTCACCACAGATATAGACCTGTCTCTATACACTTGAGATAAACAATATCATTAAATTATAACTCGTTTTCTGTGTCACTTTCGTCTGGTGTGTGGCGGTGTTCAGTGAGAGATCACACACGTGTCCCGCGGCGCACTTTACCCCTAATGTAACTGACCATTTGATGAACGCAGAACTTTCACTAGTTCCTCAACCCCCCCCCCCATGGCTCCCCCCTCAGGGGAGCCCCCAGTTAGGGAAGTCCCCCTTAAGGAAGTCCCCAGTTAGGGAAGTTCCCCTTAGGGGAGACCCCAGTTAGGGAAGTTCCCCTTAGGGAAGTTCCCCTTAGGGAAGACCCCAGTTAGGGAAGTCCCCCTTAGGGGAGACCCCAGTTAGGGAAGTTCCCCTTAGGGAAGTTCCCCTTAGGGAAGACCCCAGTTAGGGAAGTCCCCCTTAGGGGAGACCCCAGTTAGGGAAGTTCCCCTTAGGGAAGTTCCCCTTAGGGAAGCCCCCAGTTAGGGAAGTCCCCCTTAAGGAAGTCCCCAGTTAGGGAAGTCCCCCTTAGGGGAGCCCCCAGTTAGGGAAGTTCCCCTCAGGGAAGCCCCCAGTTAGGGAAGTCCCCCTTAGGGGAGCCCCCTCAGGGGAGCCCCCTCAGGGGAGCTCCCAGTTAGGGAAGTCCCCCCTCAGGGGAGTCCCCAGTTAGGGAAGTCCCCCTTAGGGGAGCCCCCTCAGGGAAGCCCCCAGTTAGGGAAGTCCCCCTTAGGGGAGCCCCCTCAGGAGAGCCCCCAGTTAGGGAAGTCCCCCTCAAGGGAGCCCCCTCAGGGGAGCCCCCTCAGGGGAGGCCCCTCAGGGGACCCCCCCCCCCTCCTCAGGGGCTGGTGACAAGTGGTTCAGTGCCCCGCCCAGCGCCCTGTAGGTGGTGCTGTGCTTTACTGCACCCGCCGCTGTTTATGTCACCCCCCCCCCCCGTACCCCCCCAGGCCCCTCTCTGGGGCCTTGGGGGTGGGGGGGGGACTGTACGCACCCTGTGTGCTCTGGGTGCGTACACACTGCATAGAAGGGGCGGGGGGAGGGGGAGGTGAGTTAACACCCCCTCCCTCTTCTGTACAGTCAGGTGTGTCTGTTAACACCCCCCCCTCTTCTGTACAGTCAGGTGTGCCTGTTAACACCCCCCCTCTTCTGTACAGTCAGGTGTGCCTGTTAACACCCCCCCTCTTCTGTACAGTCAGGTGTGCCTGTTAACACCCCCCCCCCTCTTCTGTAGAGTCAGGTGTGCCTGTTAACACCCCCCTCTTCTGTACAGTCAGGTGTGCCTGTTAACACCCCCCTCTTCTGTACAGTCAGGTGTGCCTGTTAACACCCCCCCCCCTCTTCTGTACAGTCAGGTGTGCCTGTTAACACACCCCCCCCCCCGCTCTACTGTACAGTCAGGTGTGCCTGTTAACACCCCCCCTCTACTGTACAGTCAGGTGTGTCTGTTAACACCCCCCCCTCTTCTGTACAGTCAGGTGTGTCTGTTAACACCCCCCCCTCTTCTGTACAGTCAGGTGTGACTGTTAACACCCCCCCCTCTTCTGTACAGTCAGGTGTGCCTGTTAACACCCCCTCCCCTCTGCTGTACAGTCAGGTGTGCCTGTTAACACCCCCCCCTCTACTGTACAGTCAGGTGTGCCTGTTAACACCCCCCCCCTCTACTGTACAGTCAGGTGTGTCTGTTAACACCCCCCCCCTCTTCTGTACAGTCAGGTGTGCCTGTTAACACCCCCCCCCTCTGCTGTACAGTCAGGTGTGCCTGTTAACACCCCCCCCTCTACTGTACAGTCAGGTGTGTCTGTTAACACCCCCCCTCTTCTGTACAGTCAGGTGTGCCTGTTAACACCCCCCCCTCTTCTGTACAGTCAGGTGTGCCTGTTAACACCCCCCTCTTCTGTACAGTCAGGTGTGCCTGTTAACACCCCCCCCCCCTCTACTGTACAGTCAGGTGTGTCTGTTAACACTCCCCCCCTCTACTGTACAGTCAGGTGTGTCTGTTAACACCCCCCCCCCCTCTACTGTACAGTCAGGTGTGTCTGTTAACACCCCCCCCCCTCTACTGTACAGTCAGGTGTGCCTGTTAACACCCCCCCCCCCTCTTCTATACAGTCAGGTGTGTGCCTGTTAACACCCCCCCCCCCTCTTCTGTAGTCAAGTGTGCCTGTTAACACCCTCCCCTGCCCCCCCCCCTTCTATGACCCCGACCTTTCAAGTAGTCACCCTCCAGTGGTCACACAATTCGGGAGGTGTTCCCGCTAATGGCTTCTACCTGCAGGTTATATTCACTAGTGATTCCCCCGAGAGGTGCTTGGCCCGTCTGGTACAGTCTTGTAATGTTTCCTCTCCGGGGGCCCTGTATGCTGTTCCTGGGTCGCGTGGGAGCATGCTCTCCCAGGCAGCATGGTGTGGGGGGCGTACAGCATGCTATGGGAGCATGAGCCAGTTGAGCATGATACAAGAGCCGCCAGTGGGAGCGGGTAAAGGAGCAGGCATTTTGTGGTGGCGGCCGCCGGGGCGCCCTCTCACCTTCTCCACCGGCTGATAAAAACCTCAGACAAGTCACGACTAAATTATCACTTTAGTGTATATTTATACCCAGAAGAAGACAATTAAAAGTGAGTCTTGGATCGGTGGATTAGAGGAACAGTATGAACCCGCGACATTTAGCGAGGCGCTCGCGGCGCAGCGGCCAGTTACCTAAAGTGGAAACTGTAAAAAGCTTCCACTGTTCTCTAGTGTTGAAATATGGCATTACTGCGTACCCTGGAGCCTGGGTCAGCCTGTCAGGGAAAGATATCCCAGCCTGGATACTCATCACTATTATTCATCATTCACTGCTTCATGAGGCAAATATTGGGAGAAATTGTTTTGAGAGATGTGAATAGGTTTCTAAACATTAAAATTGTCACTCGATTGTTGTAGTAATTGTACAAGAGAGCAGGAATATGGTGCCGCCAACACCACCACACTCCAATAGTCATCCATAAAGCTCCCATGGAAATATCTATTAAGTTTTTCCTAGATCAGTGGATAATGGTGTGTATTAGTGTAAGAAAGATTATTGTTTGGAAAAGTTTGATTTGAAAACATTTAGGTGTGTGGGTGGCGGGTGGTGGCAGGTGTGTGGGTGGCGGGTGGTGGCAGGTGTGTGGGTGGCGGGTGGTGGCAGGTGTGTGGGTGGCGGGTGGTGGCAGGTGTGTGGGTGGCGAGTGGTGGCAGGTATGGTGGTGGAGGTCTCAGGTACCCAGGCACGCTCTTCCCTTTCGAATTCTGGCCTCCACGACCAGCCTATGTCCATCCCCTACCACAGACCATTCCCCATGTCAATTAGAATAAGGTTAGCCCCAAGAACTCGGCTTCCAAGTTTGAACAAACAAACAGCCGGGCATTTTCTCTTAATAATAAGAGACCTCGCCCTCCAGTATCTTCCAGTCATGGAAGGTACTGGAGGGCCAGGTCCCAAATTTACACAGTAGAATAACAACATACTGGAGCGAAAGGTACGGAAGGAAATGCAGAATAGAACCAGTGAGGAGTAGAGGTGCCATAGGTACAATCAGAGAACACTGTCTGAACATCAGCGGTCCAGTGAAGAGTAGAGGTGCCATAGACACAATCAGAGAACACTGAACATCAGAGGTCCACAGCTGTTCAACACCCTCCCAGCAAGCATTAGAAATATTGCTGGAACAAAGGTGGACGTCTTCAAGAGGCATTTTAGGTAAGTTCTTGCAAGAAGTGCCGGACCAACCCGGCTGTAGTGGGTATGTGGTCCTGCAGGCCGCTCCAAGCCTTGGCCACAGGCCGGGCTTGGGAAATAGAGCTACTCCAGTACCCACTCCACTAAGTACGGTCAAGGTAGTGGAGTATTCTAACCATCCATACCACTGCTGCTGGCCCGCTCAGTCTGGAGCATTACGGAGCATTCTCAGCCTTAATGGCCATGAAGGTCAGTCGTCAGGCTTATGAACGGAAGAGTCGTCCAATGAGGTTCAAACAGCTTTACTAATCATCTGTGATTACTAATCAACCAATCTCTTGGTTGACTACTGCTGCTGTTGCTGGCGGCTGCTGGTGGCTGCTGCTGTTGCTGGCGGCTGCTGGCGGCTGCTGGGGGCTGCTGGTTGCTGCTGGCGGCTGCTGGCGGCTGCTGGTTGCTGCTGGCGGCTGCTGGTTGCTGCTGGCGGCTGCTGGTTGCTGCTGGCGGCTGTTGGTTGCTGCTGGTTGCTGCTGGCGGCTGCTGGTTGCTGCTGGCGGCTGCTGGTGGCTGCTGCTGTTGCTGGCGGCTGCTGGCGGCTGCTGGTTGCTGCTGGCGGCTGCTGGTTGCTGCTGGCGGCTGCTGGTTGCTGCTGGCGGCTGCTGGTTGCTGCTGGCGGCTGCTGGTGGCTGCTGGCGGCTGCTGGTTGCTGTTGGCGGCTGCTGGCGGCTGCTGGTTGCTGCTGGCGGCTGCTGGTTGCTGCTGGCGGCTGCTGGTGGCTGCTGGCGGCTGCTGGTTGCTGCTGGCGGCTGCTGGTGGCTGCTGGCGGCTGCTGGTTGCTGTTGGCGGCTGCTGGCGGCTGCTGGTTGCTGCTGGTTGCTGCTGGCGGCTGCTGGTTGCTGCTGGCGGCTGCTGGTGGCTGCTGGCGGCTGCTGGTTGCTGCTGGTTGCTGCTGGCGGCTGCTGGTTGCTGCTGGCGGCTGCTGGTGGCTGCTGGCGGCTGCTGGTGGCTGCTGCTGTTACTGGCGGCTGCTGGCGGCTGCTGGCGGCTGCTGGCGGCTGCTGGTGGCTGCTGGCGGCTGCTGGCGGCTGCTGGCGGCTGCTGGCGGCTGCTGGTGGCTGCTGGCGGCTGCTGGCGGCTGCTGGCGGCTGCTGGCGGCTGCTGGTTGCTGTTGGCGGCTGCTGGCGGCTGCTGGTGGCTGCTGGCGGCTGCTGGCGGCTGCTGGCGGCTGCTGGCGGCTGCTGGTGGCTGCTGGTGGCTGCTGGTGGCTGCTGGTGGCTGCTGGTGGCTGCTGGCGGCTGCTGGCGGCTGCTGGTGGCTGCTGGTGGCTGCTGGCGGCTGCTGGTGGCTGCTGGCGGCTGCTGGCGGCTGCTGGCGGCTGCTGGCGGCTGCTGGCGGCTGCTGGTGGCTGCTGGTGGCTGCTGGCGGCTGCTGGTGGCTGCTGGTGGCTGCTGGTGGCTGCTGGTGGCTGCTGGTGGCTGCTGGCGGCTGCTGGCGGCTGCTGGTGGCTGCTGGTGGCTGCTGGCGGCTGCTGGTGGCTGCTGGCGGCTGCTGGCGGCTGCTGGTGGCTGCTGGTGGCTGCTGGCGGCTGCTGGTGGCTGCTGGTGGCTGCTGGCGGCTGCTGGTGGCTGCTGGTGGCTGCTGGCGGCTGCAGACATGTACCTGAGGGGTGTGGCAGCAGACACACGTGCCCTGGCAGGCAGGAGCCAGAGGGCGGCCCCTCACGGTGCTGCCCAACTGTGTACACACTTCAGGCAGCGACTGTCACCGACCCGTCTCATTCATGCATCTTAGTTACCAACCCAATCCAACCCGACCCAACCCAACCCGACCCAACCCAACACAACCGAACCCAACCCAACACAACCCAACCCAACCCGACCCAACCCAACCCAACCCGACCCAACCCAACACAACCCAACCCAACCCAACCCAACCCAACCCAACCCAACCCGACCCAACCCAACACAACCCAACCCAACCCAACCCAACCCAACCCAACCCAACCCAACCCAACCCGACCCAACCCAACCCGACCCAACCCAACCCAACCCAACCCGACCCAACCCAACACAACCCAACCCAACCAAACTGTTGTCTCACTGCGTGCAATATACAAGACTTTGGTCAACGTCTGTGCCCACTGGGGTACAGGTGTGGCGATAACAGTGCCCACTGGGGTACAGGTGTGGCGATAACAGTGCCCACTGGGGTACAGGTGTGGCGATAACAGTGCCCACTGGGGTACAGGTGTGGCCATAACAGAGCCCACTGGGGTACAGGTGTGGCGATAACAGTGCCCACTGGGGTACAGGTGTGGCCATAACAGAGCCCACTGGGGTACAGGTGTGGCCATAACAGAGCCCACTGGGGTACAGGTGTGGCCATAACAGAGCCCACTGGGGTATAGGTGTGGCCATACGTTTTTAATACCCGCTTGATGGGGTTCTGGGAGTTGTTCTACTCCCCAAGCCCGGCCCGAGGCCAGGCTTGACTTGTGAGAGTTTGGTCCACCAGGCTGTTGCTTGGAGCGGCCCGCAGGCCCACATATACCTGGTTGATGGGGTTCTGAGAGTTATTCTACTCCCCAAGCCCGGCCCGAGGCCAGGCTTGACTTGTGAGAGTTTGGTCCACCAGGCTGTTGCTTGGAGCGGCCCGCAGGCCCACATATACCTGGTTGATGGGGTTCTGGGAGTTGTTCTACTCCCCAAGCCCGGCCCGAGGCCAGGCTTGACTTGGTGAGAGTTTGGTCCACCAGGCTGTTGCTTGGAGCGGCCCGCAGGCCCACATATACCTGGTTGATGGGGTTCTGGGAGTTCTTCTACTGCCCAAGCCCGGCCCGAGGCCAGGCTTGACTTGTGAGAGTTTGGTCCACCAGGCTGTTGCTTGGAGCGGCCCGCAGGCCCACATATACCTGGTTGATGGGGTTCTGGGAGTTGTTCTACTCCCCAAGCCCGGCCCGAGGCCAGGCATGACTTGTGAGAGTTTGGTCCACCAGGCTGTTGCTTGGAGCGGCCCGCAGGCCCACATACCCACCACAGCCCGGTTGGTCCGGCACTCCTTGAAGGAAACAATCTAGTTTTCTCTTGAAGATGTCCACGGTTGTTCCGGCAATATTTCTTATGCTCGCTGGGAGGACGTTGAACACCATCGTGGTGTGTAAAATATAAAATATATTTCTAAAACTAGCAATGTTAAGATTGGTAAAGAGAAATTTAATGGAGGAATGGTTTGATATTATCTGTGACGGCTTCTTTTTGTTTAACCAAACTGTTTGTACACTATATTGTGTGTTTCACTTCTTAGATAACCCCATGTGGTGGAATTCTGTGAGTGCTAGTGTGTACCCCATACTCATCCTGTGAGCGGTAGTTTATTGTGCACCCCATACTCATCCTGTGAGTGGTGATTTATTGTGCACCCCATACTCGTCCTGTGAGCGGTAGTTTATTGTGCACCCCATACTCATCCTGTGAGTGGTAGATTATTGTGCACCCCATACTCGTCCTGTGAGTGGTAGTTTATTGTGCACCCCATACTCATCCTGTGAGTGGTAGATTATTGTGCACCCCATACTCGTCCTGTGAGCGGTAGTTTATTGTGCACCCCATACTCATCCTGTGAGCGGTAGTTTATTGTGCACGCCATACTCATCCTGTGAGCGGTAGTTTATTGTGCACCCCATACTCATCCTGTGAGTGGTAGTTTATTGTGCACCCCATACTCATCCTGTGAGTGGTAGTTTATTGTGCACCCCATACTCATCCTGTGAGCGGTAGTTTATTGTGCACCCCAAGAAGTGCACAGTACCAGTAGCAAGAGCGCCCGGTGCAGTATAGAGGAAAAGCCTGGATACAGGGAAGACATCAGCAACACTTAAATCATCAGATTCAGCTTCACTATACACGGGAGGTAATAAAGCCTTGGCTGAAACTATCGACGATTCACTCTAACATCACACCTAAAGTTATTGAAAGATTGACTAGGCGTCATATTTCCAGTTTCCTGGAGGACATGGTAGCCGAGGCTACTTCCATCCCCACGCCGGCACTCGGTTCGCATATGTGTTCCTCACGTGTGCCCCAAAGAATGAGGTGATTTGATAAAATACCATGCCCAAGATTACCAACAGAGTGCCGGCGGGGGGATGGAAATAGCCTCGGCTACCATCCTCTTTTGTCCGGTCGTGTTGGTCGAGTGGTTAAGGGATCCTGTACATCAGTTGCATTGTTTCTGGCAGTATGGGTTCGAGTCCCTTCTGGGGTGTGAGTTTTCAGTGGCATATGTGCCTGGAGACCGTTCAGGCTTGTTCGCATATATATAATATATATATATATATATATATATATATATATATATATATATATATATATATATATATATATATATATATATATATATATATATATGTATATGTATATATATATATATATGTATATATGTATATGTATATATATATATATATATATATATATATATATATATATATATATATATGTATATATATATATGTATATGTATATATATATATATATATATATATATATATATATATATATATGTCGTACCTAGTAGCCAGAACTCACTTTTTGGCCTACTATTCAAGGCCCGATTTGCCTAATAAGCCAAGTTTTCCTGAATTAATATATTTTTTAAAATTTTTTTCTTATGAAATGATAAAGCTACCCATTTCATTATGTAAGAGGTAAATTTTTTTTTATTGGAGTTAAAATTAACGTAGATATATGACCGAACCTAACCAACCCTACCTAACCTAACCTAACCTATCTTTATAGGTTAGGTTTGGTTAGGTAGCCGAAAAAGTTAGGTTAGGTTAGGTTAGGTAGGTTAGGTAGTCGAAAATCAATTAATTCATGAAAACTTGGCTTATTAGGCAAATCGGGCATTGCATAGTAGGCTGAAAAGTGCGTTCTGGCTACTAGGTACGACATTATATATATATATATATATATATATATATATATATATATATATATATATATATATATATATATATATATATATATATATATGCGAACAAGCCTGAATGGTCCCCAGGACTATATTCCCCATCATATGCGATGGGGAATATAGTCCCCAGGACTATATGCGAATATATATATTTTCATATATATATATATATATATATATATATATATATATATATATATATATACCAGACGTCAAGACAAACTGTGTACTCAGGTCTCAAGACTACGACTCCACCCACTTAGAGCTTCCTCAACCAGCCGACCTCAAGGGCCTGGTTACCTCGTTATCTACAAAGTTATAAACTAACGGTATTTAACTCTAGCAAATTCGATTTAAACTTTTTGATATCGTATATATCACATTGTGTTCCTGTCTGTTATGTGTCTATGTAGCCCACTCCGCCCACACCCACAGGACGGGTGTGGGGTCCGCCCACACCCACAGGACGGGTGTGGGGTCCACCAGCACCCACAGGACGGGTGTGGGGTCCGCCCACACCCACAGGACGGGTGTAGGGTCCACCAGCACCCACAGGACGGGTGTGGGGTCCACCAGCACCCACAGGACGGGTGTGAGGTCCATCCACACCCACAGGACGGGTGTGGGGTCCACCAGCACCCACAGGACGGGTGTGGGGTCCACCAGCACCCACAGGACGGGTGTGGGGTCCACCAGCACCCACAGGACGGGTGTGGGGTCCACCAGCACCCACAGGACGGGTGTGGGGTCCACCAGCACCCACAGGACGGGTGTGGGGTCCACCAGCACCCACAGGACGGGTGTGGGGTCCACCAGCACCCACAGGACGGGTGTGGGGTCCACCAGCACCCACAGGACGGGTGTGGGGTCCACCCACGCCCACAGGACGGGTGTGGGGTCCACCAGCACCCACAGGACGGGTGTGGGGTCCGCCCACACCCACAGGACGGGTGTGAGGTCCGCCCACACCCACAGGACGGGTGTGGGGTCCGCCCACACCCACAGGACGGGTGTGGGGTCCGCCCACACCCACAGGACGGGTGTGGGGTCCGCCCACACCCACAGGACGGGTGTGGAGTCCACCAGCACCCACAGGACGGGTGTGGGGTCCACCCACACCCACAGGACGGGTGTGGGGTCCACCAGCACCCACAGGACGGGTGTGGGGTCCACCCACGCCCACAGGACGGGTGTGGGGTCCGCCCACACCCACAGGACGGGTGTGGGGTCCACCAGCACCCACAGGACGGGTGTGGGCTCCACCCACACCCACAGGACGGGTGTGGGGTCCACCAGCACCCACAGGACGGGTGTGGGGTCCGTCCACACCCACAGGACGGGTGTGGGGTCCACCAGCACCCACAGGACGGGTGTGGGGTCCGTCCACACCCACAGGACGGGTGTGGGGTCCACCAGCACCCACAGGACGGGTGTGGGGTCCACCAGCACCCACAGGACGGGTGTGGGGTCCACCCACACCCACAGGACGGGTGTGGGGTCCACCAGCACCCACAGGACGGGTGTGGGGTCCACCCACGCCCACAGGACGGGTGTGGGGTCCACCAGCACCCACAGGACGGGTGTGGGGTCCACCCACGCCCACAGGACGGGTGTGGGGTCCACCAGCACCCACAGGATGGGTGTGGGGTCCACCAGCACCCACAGGACGGGTGTGGGGTCCACCCACACCCACAGGACGGGTGTGGGGTCCACCAGCACCCACAGGACGGGTGTGGGGTCCGTCCACACCCACAGGACGGGTGCGGGGTCCGCCCACACCCACAGGACGGGTGCGGGGTCCGCCCACACCCACAGGACGGGTGTGGGGTCCGCCCACACCCACAGGACGGGTGTGGCGTCCGCCCACACCCACAGGACAGGTATGGGGAGCACAATAAATTAAACTTTAAATCTCTTCAAACAACTAAACTGCTTTTTCCTCGTTCCTGTGGCCATGTGCTAAGCTTAAGCGCTGAGTCGGACTCAGACCAGCACACACACAGCTGACTCAAGCTTGGCTCCTGAGTGGTCAGTAAGCTGACTCAAGCTTGGCTCGTGAGTGCTCAGTAAGCTGACTCAAGCTTGGTTCCTGAGTGCTCAGTAAGCTGACTCAAGCTTGGCTCCTGAGTGCTCAGTAAGCTGACTCAAGCTTGGCTTCTGAGTGGTCACTAAGCTGACTCAAGCTTGGCTCCTGAGTGGTCACTAAGCTGACTCAAGCTTGGCGCCTGAGTGCTCAGTAAGCTGGCTCAAGCTTGGCTCCTGAGTGTGTTCAGTAAGCTGGCTCAAGCTTGGCTCCTGAGTGTGTTCAGTAAGCTGGCTCAAGCTTGGCTCCTGAGTGCTCATTAAGCTGGCTCAAGCTTGGCTCCTGAGTGCTCAGTAAGCTGGCTCAAGCTTGGCTCCTGAGTGCTCAGTAAGCTGGCTCAAGCTTGGCTCCTGAGTGCTCAGTAAGCTGGCTCAAGCTTGGCTCCTGAGTGCTCAGTAAGCTGGCTCAAGCTTGGCTCCTGAGTGCTCAGTAAGCTGGCTCAAGCTTGGCTCCTGAGTGCTCAGTAAGCTGGCTCAAGCTTGGCTCCTGAGTGCTCAGTAAGCTGGCTCAAGCTTGGCTCCTGAGTGCTCAGTAAGCTGACTCAAGCTTGGCTCCTGAGTGCTCAGTAAGCTGACTCAAGCTTGGCTCCTGAGTGCTCAGTAAGCTGACTCAAGCTTGGCTCCTGAGTGCTCAGTAAGCTGACTCAAGCTTGGCTCCTGAGTGCTCAGTAAGCTGACTCAAGCTTGGCTCCTGAGTGCTCACTAAGCTGACTCAAGCGTGGCTCCTGAAATGCTCACTAAGCTGACTCAAGCGTGGCTCCTGAGTGGTCAATAAGCTGACTCAATCTTGGCTCCTGAGTGCTCAGTAAGCTGACTCAAGCGTGGCTCCTGAGTGCTCACTAAGCTGACTCAAGCTTGGCTCCTGAGTGCTCAGTAAGCTGGCTCAAGCTTGGCTCCTGAGTGGTCAGTAAGCTGGCTGTGCTGCTTCTTTTAGTATCCACGGTGATACTTTGTCTGGTCCAACTGCTTTAGTTGCATCTAGAGTTGTCAACTGCTTCATTACCTCCTCTGCTGTCACCTCTATATCTGATAGTCTTTCATCTAGGGTAACCCTTTCCAACAATGGGAGCTGCTCAGGCTCGGTAGTGAACACTCCATGGAAACTGGCATTCAGTGCCTCGCAGATTTCCTTGTCACTTTCAGTATATGTGTGTGTGTGTGTGTGTGTGTGTGTGTGTGGTGTGTGTGTGTGTGGTGTGTGTGTGTGTGTGTGTGTGTGTGTGTGTGTGTGTGTGTGTGTGTGTGTGTGTGTGTGTGTGTGTGTGTGTGTGTGTGTGTGTGTGTGTGTGTGTGTGTGTGTGGTGTGTGTGTGTGTGTGTGTGTGTGTGTGTGTGTGTGTGTGTGTGTGTGTGTGTGTGTGTGTGTGTGTGTGTGTGTGTGTGTGTGTGTGTGTGTGTGTGTGGTGTATGTGTGTGTGGTGTGTGTGTGTGTGTGTGTGTGTGTGTGTGTGTGTGTGTGTGTGTGTGTGTGTGTGTGTGTGTGTGTGTGTGTGTGTATGTGGTGTGTGTGTGTGGTGTGTGTGTATGTGTGTGTGTGTGGTGTGTGTGTGTGTGTGTGTGTGTGTGTACTCACCTATTTGTTCTCACCTATTTGTGCTTGCAGGATCGAGCATTGACTCTTGGATCCCGCCTTTCCAGCTATCGGTTGTTTACAGCAATGACTCCTGTCCCATTTCCCTATCATACCTAGTTTTAAAATTATGAATATTTGCTTCCACAACCTGTTCCTGAAGTGCATTCCATTTTCCCACTACTCTCACGCTAAAAGAAAACTTCCTAACATCTCTGTGACTCATCTGAGTTTCCAGTTTCCATCCATGTCCCCTCGTTCTGTTACTATTACGTGTGAGCATTTTATCTATTTCCACTTTGTCAATTCCCCTGAGTATTTTATATGTTCCTATCATATCTCCTCCACCCCTTCTTTTCTCTTGTGTCGTAAGGTTCAGTTCCTTCAGACGTTCTTCATATCCCATACATCGTAACTCTGGGACAAGCCTCGTCGCAAACCTCTGAACCTTCTCTAGTTTCCTTATGTGTTTCTTCAGGTTGGAGCTCCATGATGGCGCGGCATACTCTAAGACTGGTCTCACGTAGGCAGTGTAAAGCGCCCTAAAAGCCTCTAATCTGAAGTTCTAATTTTCGCCAGTGTAGAGAACGCTGCTGTCGTTATCCTATTTATATGTGCCTCAGGAGTTAGATTAGGTGTCACATCCACTCCCAGGTCTCTTTCTCGAATCGTTACAGGTAGGCAGTTCCCCTTCATTGTGTATTGTCCCTTTGTGTGTGTGTGTGTGTGTGTGTGTGTGTGTGTGTGTGTGTGTGTGTGTGTGTGTGTGTATTCACCTAGTTATGCTTGCGGGGGTTAAGCTCTGCTCTTTCGGCCCGCCTCTCAACTGTCAATCAACTGTTTCTAACTACTACTAATACTATTATTTTTTTTTTCCACATCACACACACACACACACACACACACACCAGGAAGCAGCCCGTGATAGCTGACTAACTCCCAGGTACCTATTTACTACTAGGTAACAGGGGCATAGGGTGAAAGAAACTCTGCCCAATGTGTCTCGCCATTCCGTATCATACCAAGTTTTAAAATTATGAATAGAATTTGCTTCCTCAACCTGCTCCTTAAGTGCATTCCATTTTCCCACTACTCTCCCTGTCTGCGTGGCGGCCTCCAGCAGACAAGGCTGCAGTCTGGAGGTCGACGAACGTTACAGGAAACTACACTTGTCTGCTGATGGATGCACGTGTCTGCTGATGGGTGCACGTGTCTGCTCCTGCACGTGTCTGCTCCTGCACGTGTCTGCTGATGGGTGCACGTGTCTGCTCCTGCACGTGTCTGCTGATGGATGCACGTGTCTGCTGATGGGTGCACGTGTCTGCTGATGGGTGCACGTGTCTGCTCCTGCACGTGTCTGCTGATGGGTGCACGTGTCTGCTCCTGCACGTGTCTGCTGATGGGTGCACGTGTCTGCTCCTGCACGTGTCTGCTGATGGATGCACGTGTCTGCTGATGGGTGCACGTGTCTGCTGATGGGTGCACGTGTCTGCTGATGGGTGCACGTGTCTGCTGATGGGTGCACGTGTCTGCTGATGGGTGCACGTGTCTGCTGATGGATGCACGTGTCTGCTGATGGATGCACGTGTCTGCTGATGGGTGCACGTGTCTGCTGATGGGTGCACGTGTCTGCTGATGGGTGCACGTGTCTGCTGATGGGTGCACGTGTCTGCTGATGGGTGCACGTGTCTGCTGATGGGTGCACGTGTCTGCTGATGGGTGCACGTGTCTGCTGATGGGTGCACGTGTTTGCTGATGGGTGCACGTGTCTGCTCGTGCACGTGGTCCATATTGTGGCCAGCAGAAGGGAGCCGGCGGCTGAGTGGACAGAACACTGGACTCGTGATCGTGTGTGCTCTCCGGTTCGATCCCAGGCGCCGGCGAGAAACAATGGGCAGAGTTTCTTTCACCCTGATACCCCTGTTATTTAGCAGTAAATAGGTACCTGTGAGTTAGTCAGCTGTCACGGGCTGCTTCCTGGGTGGGTGGAAGCCTGGTCGAGGACCGGGCCGCGGGGACACTAAAGCCCCGAAATGATCTCAAGATAGGACTGTTGAGTAAAGTTCTCACCTTTGAGAACCTTCCTCTTACCACCACCATTTACTCAACCACTGACGAAACATCTACATCTTTTTGGCTATCATGGGGTCTGAGTTTACATTTATTAAACAGGTTATCAGCTCTGATGAACTACCGGGTTGTTTAGAACGATAATTACCTCGGGCTGTGAAGCTTACATTATATTTAACGAATGTAAACAAAGCCGCCATGATGGAGCAAAGATGTACAGGTTTCGTAAAGGTCGCATAAATGTCTGACGACCCCGAACACTTCAGGGACTCTGGTAACGACCCCGAACACTTCAGGGACTCTGGTAACGACCCCGAACACTTCAGGGACTCTGGTAACGACCCCGAACACTTCAGGGACTCTGGTAACGACCCCGAACACTTCAGGGACTCTGGTAACGATCCCGAACACTTCAGGGACTCTGGTAACGACCCCGAACACTTCAGGTAGTCTGGGAACGACCCCGAACACTTCAGGTAGTCTGGGAACGACCCCGAACACTTCAGGGACTCTGGTAACGACCCCGAACACTTCAGGGACTCTGGTAACGACCCCGAACACTTCAGGGACTCTGGTAACGACCCCGAACACTTCAGGGACTCTGGTAACGACCCCGAACACTTCAGGTAGTCTGGGAACGACCCCGAACACTTCAGGTAGTCTGGGAACGACCCCGAACACTTCAGGTAGTCTGGTAACGACCCCGAACACTTCAGGTAGTCTGGGAACGACCCCGAACACTTCAGGTAGTCTGGGAACGACCCCGAACACTTCAGGGACTCTGGTAACGACCCCGAACACTTCAGGGACTCTGGTAACGACCCCGAACACTTCAGGGACTCTGGTAACGACCCCGAACACTTCAGGGACTCTGGTAACGACCCCGAACACTTCAGGGACTCTGGGAACGACCCCCAACAGGTCTTGGGTTAAAAAGTACTGGATTCACTAATTCGCAATATCAGGTTTTCTGTTGCTTGCCGCTAATGGTCTTTAACGTCGCCGTATCGAATCGAAACATCTACATCCGTAATGTTTATTGTCTTAATACCAGGTTAGTCTGGTCCATCCATCAAGCCCGCCCCTCCCCCCCCCCCCGCACTCCCTCCCCCCCCCCCTTGCCGCCCCTCCCCCCCCCCCCTTGCCGCCCCTCCCCCCCCCGCACTCCCTTCCCCCCCCCCTTGCCGCCCCCCGCACTCCCCTCCCTCCCCCCAACACACCCCACACCCCTTCCCCTCACCAGGGGCAGAATAAGGCACCAGCTCTCTGGTAGGATTGCATATTGTTTTTGGTCAATATTGTTTTTGGTCAATATTGTTTTTGGTCAATATTGTTTTTTTGGTCAATATTGTTTTTTTGGTCAATATTGTCTTTTTGGGTCAATATTGTTTTTGTTCAATATTGTTTTTGGTCAATATTGTTTTTTGGTTAACATTGTTTTTTTGGTCAATATTGTTTTTGTTCAATATTGTTTTTGGTCAATATTGTTTTTTGGTCAATATTGTTTTTTGGTCAATATTGTTTTTGGTCAATATTGTTTTTTTGGTCAATATTGTTTTTGGTCAATATTGTTTTTGGTCAATATTGTTTTTGGTCAATATTGTTTTTTGGTCAATATTATTTTTTGGTCAATATTGTTTTTTGGTCAATATTGTTTTTTGGTCAATATTGTTTTTTGGTCAATTTTGTTTTTGGTCAATATTGTTTTTGGTCAATATTGCTTTGGTCAATATTGTTTTTGGTCAATATTGTTTTTGGTCAATATTGTTTTTGGTCAATATTGCTTTGGTCAATATAGCTTCGGTCAATATTTTTTTGGTCAATATTGTTTTTTGGTCAATATTGTTTTTGGTCAATATTATTTTTGGTCAGTTTGGGCATTTTGTCGACCTTTTTTGTGGGTGTTGCCACACCCACGCTGGGGGCGTGGGTGTGGCAGCACGGGGCAGTAATGTGCGGCTGGGGGCGTGGGTGTGGCAGCACGGGGCAGTAATGTGTGGCTGGGGGCGTGGGTGTGGCAGCACGGGGCAGTAATGTGTGGCTGGGGGCGTGGGTGCGGCAGCACGGGGCAGTAATGTGTGGCTGGGGGCGTGGGTGTGGCAGCACGGGGCAGTAATGTGCGGCTGGGGGCGTGGGTGTGGCAGCACGGGGCAGTAATGTGTGGCTGGGGGCGTGAGTGTGGCAGCACGGGGCAGTAATGTGCGGCTGGGGGCGTGGGTGTGGCAGCACGGGGCAGTAATGTGTGGCTGGGGGCGTGGGTGTGGCAGCACGGGGCAGTAATGTGCGGCTGGGGGCGTGGGTGTGGCAGCACAGGGCAGTAATGTGTGGCTGGGGGCGTGGGTGTGGCAGCACGGGGCAGTAATGTGTGGCTGGGGGCGTGGGTGTGGCAGCACGGGGCAGTAATGTGCGGCTGGGGGCGTGGGTGTGGCAGCACAGGGCAGTAATGTGTGGCTGGGGGCGTGGGTGTGGCAGCACGGGGCAGTAATGTGTGGCTGGGGGCGTGGGTGTGGCAGCACAGGGCAGTAATGTGCGGCTGGGGGCGTGGGTGTGGCAGCACAGGGCAGTAATGTGTGGCTGGGGCGTGGGTGTGGCAGCACGGGGCAGTAATGTGTGGCTGGGGGCGTGGGTGTGGCAGCACGGGGCAGTAATGTGCGGCTGGGGGCGTGGGTGTGGCAGCATGGGGCAGTAATGTGTGGCTGGGGGCGTGGGTGTGGCAGCATGGGGCAGTAATGTGTGGCTGGGGGCGTGGGTGTGGCAGCACAGGGCAGTAATGTGTGGCTGGGGGCGTGGGTGTGGCAGCACGGGGCAGTAATGTGCGGCTGGGGGCGTGGGTGTGGCAGCACGGGGCAGTAATGTGTGGCTGGGGGCGTGGGTGTGGCAGCACGGGGCAGTAATGTGCGGCTGGGGGCGTGGGTGTGGCAGCACAGGGTGCTTTAGTGGATGTCGAAGGCTGGTGTATCTGCCGTCGCATCGGGTCACGAGCCAGTCAGCAAGCACCCCCAGGAGGTGACTAGTGCCCACACAATCTCCCTCACATCTCCACTTTATCTCACACACCAAGATTAACCTTTCAAAAGTGTTGAACTTTGAGTGTAGATATAATTTACCCGCAATTAGGGCGTTATCGCCTCTCACAGGCCGCCACAAAGCTCTAACAACCTTACAGCCAGATCTAACCACTCAGTATAACCACCACATGAGCCTTGTTAACGCGATCATCATTCAAACACGATAGCACACACTCCACACTCTTAAATGTAAAGACTTTGAAATGAAAAAAGTAATTCTGGTGATTAACTTCAAGTTGCACAGAGCATCAGAGCGTGAGCACTGAGGGTGAAGTAGCCAGCCGCACCACGATGGCCGAGATGCTGGTTCTTTGGCTGACTCTTAATTACAGGGGTTGGGTTACCATGGTTTCATCTCGCCACTACCGGGGACGGAGGAACTCACTTCTCACCTTTGATGCTGTGCTGTGTAATGTTGTAATTACATGGCGAGTGTCCGCTTACAGGATGTTGTACTCACATTATACCGGATGTGTGATCGGCGCTTATATTAATATATATATATATATATATATATATATATATATATATATATATATATATATATATATATATATATATATAAAATATATATATATATATATATTCTATTGTTGTATACATAAGCAACAAGGAAATTGCAGAAGGCCTACTGGAATAAATGTATAGCCCTAACTCAATATTGCAGGAGTGTGAGAAATGAGAGTGAATGGAATAATAAAGTATGACTGGAACTGACTTTTGGGATACACACTCGTCGAAAAGTTCGGATGACTACAGCCGTGTGTCGTGGTCATAGCCAATTTATACCCACCGAAACCTACTCATATATGTTAAGCAAATCATCTCTGTCTTTCTCTTCTTTAAAGTATGTGTAGATATTAGTCGGGGTGTTGGGGACACCACCCCAAATTGGTGCCAGTATTCGACCTATTCCTACGAGTGAAGGTTCATACACTGAGGATGACAAAGAAATTAGTGAAATGCTGAAAAAGCAGTATAAAAGCATGTTTAGCCAAAAACAGCATGAAAGTGGAAGATCCGGACAACTTCTTTATAAGTGATATCCAAACCCCTGTAAATATAACTGATATCAACACGAGCGTGGCAAATTTTGAAAGAGAAATTGACAATATGCCCATGCACTCAGTCCCGGGTCCAGACTCATGGAATTCAATATTTTTAAATAAATGCAAAGTGCCGGTAGCACAGGCACTCAGTATAGTGTGGAGGAAGAGCTTGGACACTGGGGAGATACCAGATGCGCTTAAAGCAGCAGACATAGCCCCTCTACACAAGGGAGGGAGCAAAGCATTGGCAAAGAATTATAGACCAGTTGCACTAACGTCCCACATAATAAAAGTATTTGAGAGTGTGATCAGGAGTCAGGTCACTAGTTTCATGGAGACCAATGACCTCCACAACCCAGGCCAACATGGATTTAGAGCAGGAAGATCATGCCTCTCACCAACCCGTCCTCTTAAAATAATTCATAAGAGGACAGGTTGCTGCTGATTTTTGTGTCATCTTCAAAAAATTATACGAATCTGTGACCTGTATTTGAGTCTATATCTAAAAATGAGAAAATTGAAAAGCATTGGTGCAAGGACTGTATCTTGAGGTACAGAACTTTTAATTAACTGCGCTTGGACTCGATTTTATATGGTTGACTGTTACTCTTTGTGTTCTGTTCGTCAGAAAACTGAGTATCCAGCGTCCAACTTTACCAGTTACTCCCATTGACCTCATTTTGTGTGCTATCACTCCATGGTCACATTTATCGAATTCCTTTGCAAAGTCCTTGTATACCACATCTGCATTCTGTTTTCCTTCTAATGCCTCAGTGATTTCGTTGTAATGGTCAAGTAGCTGTCTCTCAACCTGTTCTCTGCTGAAGACATTGAAAAACTACAAGCAGATATTAATAAAATTTTTGACTGGGCAGCAGAAAATAACATGATGTTTATCAGTGATAAATTCCAGGTACTAAAGTATGGCAAAAATGAGGATCTTAAACATAATACATGGTACAAAACACAGTCAAATCTGCCAATAGTAGGAAAGCAACATGTCAAGGATTTGGGAATAATGATGTCCGACGACCTAACGTTTAGGGAGCATAACCAAGCAAATATTGCGTCAGCCAGAAAAGTGATAGGATGGATTACGAGAACTTTCAAATCCAGGGATCCCATCACAATGGTTGTACTCTTCAAGTCACTTGGGTTGTCCCGTCTCTAGTACTGCTCAGTACTCACTTCCTCCTTCAGAGCAGGAGACAGTGCTGAAATAGAGTACAGAGAACATATACGGCACACATAGACGCGATAAAGCATCTAAATTATTGGGATCGTCTCAAAACTCTCCAAATGTACTCACTAGAAAGGAGACGAGAGAGATACCAAATAATATACACGTGGAAGATATTGGAGGGCCAGGTCCCAAATCTACACAGTAAAATAACAACATACTGGAGTGAACGATATGGAAGAAAATGCAGAATAGAACCAGTGAAGAGCAGAGGTGCCATAGGCACAATCAGAGAACACCGTATAAACATCAGAGGTCCACGGTTGTTCAACGTCCTCCCAGCGAGCATAAGAAATATTGTCGGAACAATCGTGGACATCTTCAAGAGGAAACTAGATAGTTTCCTCCAAGGAGTGCCGGATCAGCCGGGCTGTGGTGGGTTTGTGGGCCTGCGGGCCGCTCCAAGCAACAGCCTAGTGGACCAAACTCTCACAAGTCAAGCCTGGCCTCGGGCCGGGCTTGGGGAGTAGAACAACTCCCAGAACCCCATCAACCAGGTAACACCACACATTCTAATTAATATATATTGATTAAAATGTTTCTTTGCACAATTATTATAATCTCGC